CCTGGGGCATTGTCATTTGTTCCATTTATATGATCCAGGGCCCTGGTCCCCAACCTGGGGTGTTTTCACTCCCTGGAGGTCTGGGACGAGGGTGCCAAGGGTGTGGCCAACTGGTTTAGAAGAAGAATTTATTTTGAGTTGAGAGAGCACCTCACATCATCACATGCTGCAAATGTGGATGGAACAAATTTTTGGGGTGTGAAAGGTCCACGTGATTGCTCCAGGTGTGTGAAGGCTGAAATATGTTGGGGAAACACTGATCCAGGGAGTCTTTTTGGGACTTGTGAGTCAAATAGAATGAACACCTTGTCTATAGCCTTATAGTCAGTAAATCAAGCCCAATGAGTCACAGATAACAAGGTCAAAAGATTTTAATTTTTTTTAAAACAGATGTACAATAAATGATTGAAAATGACACATTGCCTACATTAACATTGTCATTTTTATATCCATCATCCATTTTAAAAAAAAAAACTCACAAAGGAGTGGTTTAAGTAGGTTTGTCTTTGCATAAATTATAACCGGTAAACATTGAGGCCACACGGTGACAGATACTTAACAAATCCACTGTAGGTATCCTCTATTTAAAAGGCAGTTGGTTTTTTCTAATAGTGTACCACATTAGGTGCAAAATAAAAATAATGCCGGAAAGTATAAGGATTGGTGTGAGTCAACACTTTCACTATGAGAACAAGTAAACTTGGATGCTCATTTTTATCTATTTCTTTCAGATTAAGATTGAACGTAGAAAAGATTGAGAATATATTTTTTATTAGCAGACATAACAAAGATGGCCACCATATGTCCGGTTTTGAATGGCCTTGTCTGTTGGTTGATCTGTAACAGTCCACTGAATCATATTAACAGTTTCGTGGCAGGAATTTTCTTGATATTATATTATTACCCAAGACATGTCACAGATATTATGGACCTCGCTTTCATAGATGATCTACTTAAACACAGCAATATTGTAAAAAATGTAGCATTATAGTGGACGAACGAAGACGGATTTCTCCTTCTGTACTAAAGGAGACGTGTTTGCCCTACAATTTGTCTAATTGTTTGAGACCTGACAATCGAGCATGATTTATTTCGGCCAATCAAAATCATGCACGTGCAGTGAGTTGTATTGTCTCTTTTTGTTCAGTCAACGCCGCCATTTTCATTTTTGTAGTTATTTCATATTGTATGTTTGAAGAGTGCTTGTTCCATATTCATGAAGCCATTGTATAAAGCCATATAAATTACTACTGCCGTTTTGTATCCGGTTTTCAACTGTGGGTAATTATAATACAGATAGAACCCTCTGCCATGAGTCTGAGCCAATGAACCACCCCCTAAAGGAAGCAGAAGAATTTCCTTTCCATGTACATACAGTCAGAGCCTAAACATCGCCAACGCAGCGAGCCAATTGGAACTCGTTGACAAATATCGTACGGGTCTTACATATCGGTTGGAAAAGAGTTTGGAAATCAAGACGCTTGTATTTTTCAACCAGAAAGCCAACACATTGAACTTTTACCATGATTTTTATGTCCTGGGTAAAAATGTGGGTCACCAAATTCATGAATTGCGACGTACAAGGTTCAATAAAACTTCCATAATAAGCAATAATATCTACAATTGCTCGAATGTCTCTTGAAGTGAATAGAGATCATAACATTTTGGTAACAAACAAGGGCCTTATTGTTATTGTAGTAGAGGGGTCCATATAAATCACCTTGCATTGTGTTACGAATGTTAAAGTCACAATATGAACAACTATTCAAGTACCAGTAACTGGCAAGACTATCAATCAATGACTTTTAAACAAGCAATAAGGTCTACCTTGGAAATACCACAATACCAACGTTAGATTTATCTATGAAAAAATTTTTCCTCTTTTTAGTATTTGTATGTTAAGCAGTCTTTATTTAGGATTTGAAATAGACCATTGTTAATATTGTCATACAGATTTTGGAAAGTTCAAGTAACCATCACCCAGACATCTTTTTGAGCCAGACTGGAAGCTGATAAATATACTCCATATAACCCATTATTAGGGTATGTACTATGTTTTATGTATGTGTCTTTTCTATTGTAGCTTTAATCTCAAGATCATATTTAGCAATGGGTTATATGTGACCTACAACTATATATGTTCTATTATATGCCCTATAGTATGAATAAAGTCATGTAAGAGGGTCAAAATATTCTTTTATTTATTTAAACCCAACATAATTGGATACTAAATATACTTACAAGATAACACTTGTATCTGATTTGAGTGGGAAAAGGTTGCATTTTTTAAATGAAATGAATAGTTAAAATGGGTAACAGCAATTGTGCGGTCATAGCCTCTAGCCCTTACTTTGTGCAATGGCAGCTTTTTAACCATGTAAAATGTCACATTCGACCCCATTACTATAATTAAACTAAAACAGAATTTTTCCTGTTGTCTTCGGTGCAACATTAGCTGCCAACCAAATATTAATCCTTTGTAGTTCGCTGATGAACGCGTGTATTGAATGTTACGTCATTAAAACCATAACAAAAGAATCGATATTTTTCTTCTAGGAAGATTCTGAAAGATTTTCTATTATGAAATTATCAATTTGACTTGGTTTGCACAAAAAATATCACTGTGTGCTCAATTTTTTATTGATATTTTTTGATCGGCTTTATATATTCAAAATTTTACAAACACTTCAGTGGATAACGACATTTGGCCTCTCTCACACAAAGAAATTCCTGTTTAATTTTAGCTTTTGAAAGATGTTTGTGTGACCACGATGCATTAATTATCAAAAGTATAATTTGTTAGTTTGAATTAGTTAGATTATTCAAAAGGTATTTGATGCAATTTCCCCCCCTTTGATAAAACTGTGTCTGACATTTATACGGTGTACGTTTCTAATTGACCCGTATCCTCTCTATCTCCATATACAGTATGGATGATTTGAACCAGAATGATCTTGTCTAGCTGGTAATTCAATCTGAATCTATGTTAAGATAATAAGCTACTTAAAATGATTAATGGATGTAGGCTAATAGACTTTCACAGTTTTCATTTGGTTTTATCATTCTCTCACAAGTGTCCTTGATTAAACACAACAATGTGTACATTTTATCAACAGGCCCGTCGTAACGTCCAATCGGGCTTGGGTTGGGGCAAAAACTTTCATGAAGTACACAACTTTAAGAAATGTAAATGAATACTTCAAAAATCAAACTAATGAAACTGAGATTTAAAAAAAAAGGATGCTTTTAAAATGTTCCAGTACATTACAAAACATTAAGTGCATCTGATCATTGTACTGCAGTTAGTAAAATCAAGCATTAGATTATCAACTACGACAATGTTTCATTGATGTCCAGTTCAAAGGCAAAGACCAACGCTACTATCAGGAAGAATTATGTAGATCTGTATTATATTACTATCTATTGAATAACTATACTCGGTTCCTGTATCTAAATCATAAAGCCATAAAAATACTTATTAATTTACAGTAACATCTGGAGTTTTAATATTAGTCGCTACAGGATACCTCGTTACGGTTACAACACTACCATTTTCATCTGGAAATTATGACATGTCTACGAATATAGACGGAGTTTTCATACCTCTTTAACGTAAGGCAAGATAACAAACGTTTGTATATTGTATATGGAATCTTGTGAAGCCGAAAGAGGAAGAAGAATCATTCACAGTAATTTGGTTGTACACCAACGCTTTTACAGTACCACCGAATCATATAATTGAAGGATAAAGAACAAAGGCAATAAAATCTTATCAAAAAGTGAAAGTCGTGTGCCATGTTGAACCATGCTGTTGGCGGTTATTTATCAGTAGTTATATGTAATTCCTTATATCATCATCTTCATTCAGCTGCTGGAGTTATCTTGATGGTACTAGGTCATTATCGGGCTTGTCCTGCTGAGATCTCAATTGCTCTTCCAATTTAAACCTAGTTTAGGTATGTAGGTCGCGTTATTGTAACAAGCTGATACATTCTAGATGTATATCCAATATGAATACTAAATAATAATCGGTATTTTATTGGTAATCTCAATATTGATTTGTTAAATGCTTTTGAGTGAACCATGTGTATTGTAACTATTGACTCTTTAATGGTTTCAAGTTTATTGCACTTCTTCAGATAAAACTTCTGCTATTAAAGGGACATTCCTCTTTTTTGTGGGTCGAAAATTTATTTTGCTCAAATTTGTGAAAACTATAAACCAAAATCTATAGAAATGTATCCCATAACGTATCTGAAAGTTTTAACTAAAAAAATCCAGCCGTTAATTTTTTAACGCCAAAACTTTACGTAACCTTTTAAAGTTCGTTATGCTTTTTGCAAGATGTTAGAAAACTAATGTACGGATTTGAGTAAAACAAACGCCTAATTGTAGACAAATATGTCTCCTATGTCTAAAGATTTCAACTAAATATAACGAGCCATTATAAAGCCAATCACCGATACTAGGTTCAAATTAATTAGTACTCAACTTCGGTTTGATCTAGTAGATACATAGATATAAATAGCATACTGAAATATTTTCAGGTATAATTTCCGACGTTTTTGATATTGAAAATGATTTACAAAAAAGTGGAATGCCTCTTTAAGTTGTTCTATGAGTGTGTATGTGTGGTTGGAGGAAGTGACAGATTCAGATATTACATTGTAAATGTAGCATTGTCTTGCCGTGATGATATGATCAGATCAAAAAATAATGTTTGGGTGAAAGGTGTGTCTCGAAGAATTTACTCTTCTGAAGCACTTAAAAGAGACTTGGATTACAAGATATGAAAGGTCGTAACCAGTTTAAGTAGGTTTGTTGGTTATGTAGTTTATTAAATGTCAAAGAAAAGTTGTCCTACCTGCTATACATGCTTCTTTAAATTTACACTCGCAGCCCGAGTCACCCTCAACACTTACACAAGGGCAATCAGCTGGACATCTGTTATCAATCTCACATGTTTCTCTTGGTTCTCTCGATACTCCACGATAATCAATCACCTCAGCTCTTTCAGGAATACAGGTACAATTGAAATACAAAATATTCCGTAAATCTCCTTCAAATTTCTGGTCACTGACGGTTTCATCTTGCTGTGAGCCTCTGGAATCTCGTCGATATCCAAGAGGAACACCTCCAAAATACACATAGTTATTCTTATTCCTATCTCGAAACACAGTCGAGTCGGAACCAAAAGCAACTTTGCTACTGGAGGTTCCATCCACTTGCAAGATGGTTTCAAAATGTTTCCTTTTCACTTCTACGCTGTGCCATCGGTTATCGTTAAGGTTATTTCCAAGGATGATTTCAACGCTTCCGTCTTGTTCATCAATAACGTTTAGACGGAGTCGGACAGATCCATCCTTAACCATAACTTCAAAAAAGTCATATCTTCCATTGTTGTCAGTGTACATTAACAAACCATCTGATTGTGTAGTTTTGAATTCAAAACTAACAGACGCATTGATACAGGCGTTCCATATTGGAAACCTTGCGTATGTATTGGGCTCTCCTCGGAATCGGAGGGCATCCACAGTCCACAGTAACAAGAGGGCCGTGGATAGAATAAACAGCCGTTTAACAGCCATGTCTATCCACAACACATAAAAGATCAACGAGCACCTCAACTAAGTTTATCCTACCATTTATAATTTATTAATCCTATGCAATAATCGGCCTAATCGTTGAAATGTTAATCCACAGACTTGTTTGCTCGTTACAAACTTTGCCAGTAATGATAGCTAACACACCGTTACAAATTACAGTAGGCAACAACACTCCTACTATACGTTATGAACCAACCCTATACTGCTTATTGTTCACAGGTCGCCATATTAAAACGATATTCATAATAAGGAGTCCCTTTTTCTATTCACAACTGCTTGAATAACTGGGTCACTGTCTAAAAGAAATACACCTACAATCCGAATTCCGCCAATCGTAGTCACTGGTTTCAAAATAAAAAGTGAATTAACCAGTTTAGCTGAGCTCCTGACGTCATGAGTCACTCTTCAATACTTTTGCTTCAATCTTGTCGTCTGCTATCCGCTACTGTTGCCTGTGGCGAGAATGGAATGGAAAATATTAAATATAAAAAACTTGAAAAACTTGTTTTGATATTTTGATAGATATTTTAAAACTTCTAGGTTCAAATAGAATTTTATGATATATGAGGGTAAGATAGTCCAGCTTTTAGATTATACTATTAAACCCTCAATAACAAACCGGTTTCAACATTATTGTAAAGCACAATCCCACTGTTACATTCTTAATAGCAAGGCAAATAGCCAAGTCACGTGATCTATCTCCGCTGTGCAGTAGTATATCTATAACACGTCTGGAAAATTGCCCCAAATTTGACTAAATACTGCATACTCAGCGCAGTAGAAGGTTGGGTACGCCACACACCGTTATAAATAGAGGCGTGAGTGTAATACGAGCTAGTAAATACGATGTCTATCTACAAGAGTTCATCAAGATATGAACGAGTGAAAGATGGTGCGCTGGTTGAAATCAGCCAGTGTTTTATTGAGGTAATCAGAATGATAACCTTAACTTTGAGCCTTACATTCCATATCATTGTGTAGAAAGAATCAGTCGAGTACCGGGTAACGCAACTGTAAGTAAATGAGCACAATTCAGGTACATCGGGATATTCAAGGCCATCAATTATTGTTATTTCGTTTGATTCGATCATTAAAAGGGTTTATTGAACTGCCCTAAAATTATTATGAACAAACACTTTCTCAGCGTTATAATCTGTTATATTACTCACAGACCTCTAATTCAAACCACATTTGAACTATTTAAAGAAAAATAGCTATCAATAAATTCTATGCAGCATGACTAAAGTCCATTTCTTTGACTTTTGATTAGCTAAATTAATTCCGTGTGGAAGTCTATTTCAAGGTTTCGAGTTGGTATGAAGATTATTCTGATGTTCATGTGAAAGGATGATTGCAACAGATGGTAAACATGTAGACGATGGAGACAAATATGTAAAAAAAAAACATGCACAATCTATAAATATTCCGTGTTAGGTTGCTTTTAATACGAATACACCATTGAGCAACAAGAAAATTTGGATATCAGGGTAAGAGAGTGAGTTATCAAGAAAAGAATGATTCAAGGTCGCCCTTATTGACCGAAAGAAATATGAAAGAGTGTCTTTCTGTAAAGTTAGTCAAAACACAAAACAAAAATCTTGTTCATTGTAAATATATATCACATTTTTTTATCAACACCGCTTATGTGTGACACTTCATATATTACCATTGCTAACATGTACATTCCATTTACAATGAAGCTCGAGTATATGCTTTGTATGTATGTCAAGGTCAAATTCTATACCATCATATAGGCTACAAAAGCATCATCCAGGTAATAATATTGATCATTATTTCATGCTTCAATGTCTATAATGTCATTCGACGTGAAAACAATTGGGCATAATAGATTTTAGCTACAGACAATTCAAATCTAGAAAGTATTCACCAGACAGCTTGTGATAAATACAATTACATATATATGCCATATTATGATTTTTATGGCCCCAAAATACCTTGGATGTAAAACATGAACTAATTTAATGCACTGTAAGTTCAGATATTGCCACACACAACATGAACCACCGTGTTCATACTATAGCTATATAAGGGCCTATATATAGAATAAAACGGTGAACAAAGATATAGCGTTGTTCAATGTTATTTAAATCATAGAATACATCATATTAGCGACATCAATAAACATATTTTTTATAAATTTTGATTGAAAAATTTTTTGTTAGCTGTGAAACCAATTAAAATCTAACAACATTTCCTTAGTCCTAAACATTATCACTATAACACACTACGAGAATACGAGTATATCTACCTACTTACATAACTGAAAGCCTACCTCAGACTAAAAACAAACACCAATTTAACCATTTGCTCCATTGCTTTACATTATCCCAGGCTGAATTTGAATAAAATTCGACTAGCAGTGTAACAGGTAAAAGCCATGTTGTTGTGATCAAGGTGAGAATAAATGACAAGTTCACCACCAGGTGAAAGCCATCGATTTTTTCAATCTATTCATAGTTCAGTCAGTTATAACCACTCTAATAACTAGCTGTTTTAATTATTCAAGTGAGATTGATGTTTATTGTCCCACCAACGTTAATAAGGTCACAGCTTTGTTTAATACCAGGACTCCGGGAGAGGACAAGAATGTCCTCGAGATATAATATTCTTAAAACTAATTAGGGTTTAAGGTCTTGAGGTCAGATCTAAAAATTATGTTTAAGATCTACGACAATGAGAAATGTGTCGAGGTTGGGTATACTCAATCTTCCCAAAAACTCTACCACTCGATATCAACTCAGCATCTGATTTATAAGGATGACGTGAGGTGACGTTAGGCCCACCGACCGAACGGCTTGAATCAAATGATTAGGGTTATAATTCTATTGCTGGACACGCTGTGTAGGCACTAAACTTGCCGTTATTGAAAAGCTTTATATCCCCACCCCATTGACACTCCAAGAGAGTTCACCTTTTTAAGATTTGTGGGCTTTTTTATACGCCCACACGTGCTCACTCTACAGACTACAATTCTCTATTGATTCTTTTGATCTTTTGTATACATGTGTGTCAATATCATTATGAAGATGTGCACTATTGAATTTGGTGATGATCCGATGATTTTCTTTAGAGATATCCCATAAAACTCTGATATCGCGTTCGTGTTTTTTTCACTTATTTTGCTCGTGCCCACTCTACATGCTACAATTCTCCAAGGATTCTTTTGATTGTTTGTATGTGTGTCAATATCATTATGAAGATATGCACTATTGAATTTGGTGATGATCCGATGATTTTCTTTAGAGATATCGCATAAAATTCTGATATCGCGTTCGTTTTTTTTTCTTCACTTTTTTGGCTCGTGTTCACTCTACAGACTGTTGATTTTTTTAATCTTTTGTATGTGTGTCAATATTATTATGAAGTTGTGCGCTATTGAATTTGGTGATGATTCGATGATTTTCCTGAGAGATATCGCATAAAACTCTGACATCGCCTTTATTTTTTTCTTCACTTTTTTGGCTCGTGCTCACTCTACAGACTACAATTCTCTATTGATTCTTTTGATCTATTTATTGTATGTGTGTCAATGTCATTATGAAGATAATTATGCACTATTGAATTTGGTGATGATCCAATGATTTTGTTGAGAGATATCGCATACAACTCTGATATCGCGTTTTTTTCACTTTTTTGGCTGTGTTCACTCTACAGGCTACGAGTTTGTTTTACAGTTCACATTTAGCTCTTTATCAAGCTGCTGGTGGGCGTATTCGCTTGCGCAAGCCTATGTTGTTTTTTTTTAAATGACAATTTTGTAACTTCGACTTATCATTTATTTGACATTTAAACCACCTAGGTAATAATTGAAGAATTTTTAATTAAAATTTTTTTTTTTTACAAGATTCGTTGAATTAGGTCAAAATAATTTCCATCCAGGTGAAAATTAAAGATTTAATTAAAAATTGCACGAATTATAGGTGAAAATTTTGAATTCAAAATTAAAAGTGAAATATGTCGTATGTGAGCCACCTTACATAAGCATCATTGCTTTGAAACTGTGGTCAAAGAGGGATAATTCAGACTTAACTGTGGTCTGACTTCTCATCGCTGGAAAAATTTTAGTAACTCTAATGCGAGATAACTCTAGTTTGTAGTACTTTGAGAAACAAGATGGCTGCGCCCATGAAACACATTACAGAATGACTACTTCGACCAGTCTTCTGTTCAGTAATTGTTTAATCTTTGTGTAGGTTACACATTTTCACCGAGTTGAACATTCCGAACTTTTGTGGTATTGAAGTTTTTACAAACACATACAGTCTGGATAAACAGTCTTGATCTGTCACTCATTTGAATTCTGCTGGTAATTCTCTTCTTATTTAGCTAAATATGAATTGATTATGAGACAAACTGGTATTTATCCAAGTCATTAGAACACGTCTACTTTCTATTCATATAAGTAATATGAATGAAGGCATGGCCTTGAATGAGAAAGCAGGTTATTGATAAAATAACAATAATTAATAATAATCAAATAAACGAAATTCAACCTGATCTGTATGTAATGCAAACTACTTTGTCTTCTAATCATATGTGTGAAGGTAATCTCCTATGAATACAATATCTGTAGATAATCTTTTATAAGGTATCTAGACAAATTTCTATAAGGTGTAAAAGTAATCATCTATAACAATGACGTCATTATAACGTGACGTATGATGTCAACAAAGCCGCCATCATTGCTTTGGAGAAAGTCTTGGGAAATTAGGTCAAAGCTGTAATTTTATTCCTTATGACGCATAGAATATCCAGGAAAAGTAAAAATAAAACGTAAGGGGTGTTAAGTTGGTACAAAACATCCCTTTCTGTGTTTGAAACAATTGTCGTATCACTCCGAAGCTACCCGGATTGACTGCTATCTAAGTCGAATTTATCCTGGGTTAATCTGATTCGATTTGGTCTAAAAACCATTTATCCTGTATCAAATAAAATTTGATTATGGTAATCAGCGCATTTATTGTAGCAGCAAATCAAATCAAATCTAGTAAATCAACTTTGGAGCGTCGTAGCTCTGTTAACTTCCGCTTTAGTAATGGCGTCCAACATGTCAAAACCATTACGTGCAAGGTAATTTCTTCCTGCCTTGCCGCCATCTTGGAAACTATGAATAGTATAATGTTCATTTATCCTGCAGTATAAATCAGATTCGATTTGTGACGTCATTCTGATTAGGGTAATCGAATCAGATTTAAGTGCGTAAAAATGTCTCTAGTTGTCAACAAACATGGCGGCCCCCATGATCCGCCATCTTTTTTCTCACTTTTTTTTGACTACCCGTGGGGCATAAATTTTCTGAAACGAATTGATGTATATGTATGTGTTACCATTATAGAGAGCTTCGCATATTAGCATTTTCATTTTGATTAATGAAAATAAGGGAACCCATCTTTAAACATTTTTGTTTAATTGATTGAATTTGTACTTCAACCAAAGTGTAAAGCCTACCATCTGCAGCTAAATAATTCGTTTTAAAGTGACACTACGTCTTAGAATGAACATAACATGTATGAATTTTAAACTTGGCCAATAAGAGCACATATTCATCAGTAGATATACCTGGTGTCATAAATAACATAACAGGATCCTTATATAATCCAATAAATCCAAAAAACTTAGTTATTATCCATAAATATGCAATTAAGTATTGAAAAACGCTTAATATCATGATTAAGCGTTTTTCAAAAAGTACTTAGTTTTATAAATTTTCCAATTTTCCAGATTTTACAGGGATTTTGTTGTAACTTTTGACACCAGGAAAGTTCACTGATGAAAATATATACTCATATTGACAATTCTTTAGAACTTAAATTTTATGTTCATTCTAAGACGTAGTATCACTTAACAGACACTTGAATTCATTTGAAAATATCAGGGAAAATGCAGTTAATAATAAAGTTCACAGAGTTATTTTAGTTTTTTCAAGTAAGTTAATAAAAAGAAATTTGACCCCTAGGGTCATAGACAAGCATCCAATGTGTGTACAAAAGATTGATATGTTTTGATTACTAGTATTGGTATTTTACAGATTAGCCCTGAAGTTGGCCATTGGTAAAAATAAGCTGTGTTATTTAACTTATTTCTTGTGTCTTCTGTAAAGCTGACAATATTTCATAAACATGGGGAAGATACGGAGAGTAAGAGAAAAATACCATTCTGTAGCAAAGAAAAATCTCAAAAGTTCTTCTGAAGACAACAAGATGGTAGCTGAAGAAAATGATAACATTGTAGGATTATCATCTGAGGTTTGTGATACAGTAATGATTATATTATTATAAAACAATACTGTTATAGAATCCACCAGACTGACTCTCGGAAGCACAGACATCGGATTTTTGTTACCTTGAGGAGGATTTGAACCCATGGCACCTAATCAGGTGGTTGAAAGATTACAAGTTACTATTAGATGACACAGATAAGATCCTGGTTTTATTGTATTTTCAAACTGGCGCCTTGTCTAGAAAGACATAGTTAATTTTAATATGTTTCAGGAAGTGGCTTCTAATATGGTGATACAAGATAATATATTCAGTACAATTAATATAGATAAATCGAAACTCAGTCAAAGACTCCCTGATTTTGATGCCAGATCAGCTATAACCAGTAAAACATTGAAAGGACTTAGCCTGAAGAAGAAGGATAAATTGAAATTAAGAAGGGAATATTTCATGCAAAGTAAGTAAAATATCAGATGGTTACAATTATTAGTTAGGTTTTTTTTGTTATTATATTTTAGAAATCTGATGCTAGTTAAGTTAATATATTATAGAAATCAATGCTATGAAAGTGAAATTATTATATTTTAGGAATCCAATATGCTAGCAAAATGAAGTCATTATATTTTAGATACCAATGCAATAGAAGTGAAGTTATTATATTTTTTTAGAAATCAATGCTAGTAAAGTGAAGTTATTATATTTTAGAAATCAATGCTATAGAAATGAAGTTATTATTTTATAGAAATCAATGCTATAGAAATGAAGTTATTATATTATAGAAATCAGTGCTATAGAAATGAAGTTAATTTATTTTAGAAATCAATGCTATAGAAGTGAAATTAATATTTTATAGAAATCAGTGCTATAGAAGTGAAGTTGATACACTGGTATTTTAGAAATCAATGCTATAGAAATGAAGTTAATATTTTATAGAAATCAATGCTATAGAAATGAAGTTATTATGTTATAGAAATCAATGCCATAGAAGTGAAGTTAATATATTTTAGAAAATCAATGCTATAGAAGTGAAGTTGATACACTGGTATTTTAGAAATCAATGCTATAGAAGTGAAGTTAATATATTTTAGAAAATCAATGCTATAGGAGTAAAGTTAATATTTTATAGAAATCAATGCTATAGAAGTGTAGTTAATATTTTATAAAAAATCAATGCTATAGAAATGAAGTTAATATATTTTAGAAATCAATGCTATAGAAATGAAGTTATTATTTTATAGAAATCAGTGCTATAGAAGTGAAGTTGATACACTGGTATTTTAGAAATCAATGCTATAGAAATGAAGTTAATATTTTATAGAAATCAATGCCATAGAAATGAAGTTAATATTTTATAGAAATCAATGCTATAGAAGTGAAGTTAATATTTTATATAAAATCAATGCTATAGGAGTAAAGTTAATATTTTATAGAAATCAATGCTATAGAAGTGTAGTTAATATTTTATAAAAAATCAATGCTATAGAAATGAAGTTAATATATTTTAGAAATCAATGCTATAGAAATGAAGTTATTATATTATAGAAATCAATGCCATAGAAGTGAAGTTAATATATTTTAGAAATCAATGCTATAGAAATGAAGTTAATATTTTATAGAAATCAATGCTATAGAAGTGAAGTTAATATTTTATAAAAATCAATGCTATAGAAGTGAAGTTTATATACTGGTATTTTAGAAGTCAATGCTATAGAAATGAAGTTAATATTTTATAGAAATCAATGCTATAGAAGTGTAGTTAATATTTTATAAAAATCAATGCTATAGAAGTGAAGTTTATATACTGGTATTTTAGAAGTCAATGCTATAGAAATGAAGTTATTATTTTATAGAAATCAATGCTATAGAGGTAAAGAAAAAGAAAGATAAAGAAAGAAAGAAAAGAGAGAAAACAGCTGTAGTTGGTGATATGGCTGTAATAGAAGAAGCTTTACCTACCTTAGATTTATTAATGAAGACATCCACCACAAAAGAGAAAGTGTTAGTTATTTAATCACTATTAACTTTGGTTAATGCTTTAACTTGGTTTGAACTTGATCATTTTGATATTCTTGTCTTGAATATAAGGATAAACAAAAATTTCACTTTTCATGTTGTTACATGATATCAACATCATTATTGTTGCATAACCTAGGAGTATATTTTGTTATGAATATTTTTGTAGGCCTCATGTTCCCAAGAAGAGATGTGTACAGAAGGCTAAGAATAGAGTTAAGAAAGGGTAGGTATATTATATTCTATTATTTGTAACAAAGTTTCGCCAGTTTTAAGTGTTCTCGATTATTATCAAATTTGGATCTTGTACCACAGAGACAATGATTAAAATTGTTTTCTTCAATTACATGGGTGATTTTGGGGGTTTCCTTGGTTAAGTATATTTGTAATGTTTTAATTTCTCTTTCAGATTAAGCAATATAAAATCATTTAAACAAGTTTTAAAACATTCAGCTTTCAAAAACAACCCTGGTGCTACAATTAATGAACATTTACATAATAAACTGAAACAAGAAGAAAGTGATGAATCCTAACAGTAATTAAACAGTCTTACTTCTAGGACTTTTCACTATATATCTTCTCAATAATAAAACATGAAATGATGTCATCTTAAATGCATATTGGTACTTTACATAGATGTCTGTGGAGCAATCTTGTTTCTTAATCAATATTAATTTTGTGGGCAATTATTGGTTTACTTGCTATTTTTTAAGAAAACAGGAATAAGGATTACCTGAATATTCGGAAATTCTGATTTCCTTCTAGTGTCAAAATTCTGAATAACAACACTAAAATACCCAAATAAATCTGATCTCTTTCGGCCAATTTGCAAAAAATATACAGTAATTTCTAATTAGATTTATAATTGTAGTAGTTATTAATGATAGATGAATGAATAAGTGCATAAGGTTGAATGATTGAAATGTACATGAATTAATTTAATTAGACCAATGTACTGTCATGTTGAAATGAAATATATTAAAGCAGATACATGTACCATGAATGTATTTTCATCTTTCATTAAAATATATTTTTTAAAAAAAGACCCTGAGTATACATTTATTACTGAGCAGTTGCAAGCATAGACCAAGGTATTTGGGAAATGTATTGAAAGAGATACAATGGATTACAGTAATCTGTAAATGAATTATAGTAAAATGCTAGTAGATATCAGATATACATTGATTAATGTGATCAACATTGAAGCACATACATACCTCTACCAAACCTCATTGATAGTCAGAACAGGAAAAAAAGTTGTCCAAGGGAGGAATAAACAATATAAGGGTTAAAATCTCAATGGCGTATTTAGGAGGTGTACCACTCCCCCACTCAGACCTGTTAAGGTCTTCTGAAGTGAAAATAAAGCCATCTAAATGCTCAATATTCATCTCAAGTCATCTGAAATACGTTGCTGAACCCCTGAACTAGAGAGGTTTCTACTCGCCTGGAAGAGACACCTATCATTTTTGGCCACCCCCTCAGTTATTTTCTAGATAAGCAAGTTTTTCGGGCAAAAATCTCATAACTAGGTTAAATATTCGGGCAATCTCAGATATCTCGCAGGGGGCGAGATATCGGACGTAAACCTGACCCAGCTTCTGACACCCATATCTTTAACATTGAAATTCTGTATGTTTCAAATGACTTTATTCCTGTTGAGGCGTGAATAGGGCCACAGAAGTTGGTTTATAGAACTGTATACGTTGGAAATAATTATTATTATTTGAAAATTCCTCTGCAAACCGACATTCATATTAAAACAATTCTGCGTGAATCAGTCACTATACAATCTGTAGAAGAAAATCTCTATAAACCGCTTGTCTCGGGTCCCAAACTGGCTAATTTATAATTGATTAACCGGCCACTGGATACATAAATTGTCTATTTATTGGTATTCCGCTGATAATATTTAAAGTGATGATGACATTTGATTACATCAAAATGAACGAAATGAACGACTAATCACTAATCCAATTGAAAGTTTAATTCCATTAGATGGACTCCAAGGATTGACTAAGAACGTAACTCTGTTTGAGAAGCCAAGACTGACATTCCCTCTAAACCGTGGTATGGTTTACCTTATTCGTCGGTTCACATCAAAGCAAACCAAAATACTCTTTGCTGTTTATGACAACATTTATACATTTTATATCAGCTAATGAACAATTAACAAGCATTGCAACATACCTTCCAAGAAATGTAGAGAAAAATCAGACAGACTCATAGACTTATTATTTTTCTATAGCTCTATGGTCGGACTACATCAGTAGCAGCCACCTCATAGCCTGTAGTAAAGTATCATAGCTGTTTGAATTACACTTATTCTATCAGAGTCATAATCTGAACTATTTTTGAGACTGTTTCGATTGATAGTATCGTTGGTGGTGAAGGGGAAGTAACTCTGATATGTTGCTAAGTTGGCCATGTTTGTTTACAACATGGCCGCCATTGAACGAATCTGAAGAAGATTATTGTTTTAACGTTGTTTTGTGAAGTTATGTCCGTTTTCGGGTAAATTTATACACCTTTGAATAATTTTTCTGTTTATGCTTACCGTTATTCTGCAATATGTGACACTTGTTACGTAGGAAATATGACATTAATGTACGCACAGAAATCAGCAAAAAAAATATCTTGTTACTACCTTCAGTTACAGATTTCAGTGCCTGGAAATAGAACTTTGAATCTGATCGTTTTTAGTAGAAAGCCAAGATATCGCGGCCCTTACTTAGCCTTAGATTTTCAATTTGATACTACTAGGAATTGTTATGAGATAGAGAGATCTTTTGACTACTGTTGAGTAGTAGCTAAAGAACATGCCTAAATCATAATACAAAGTTTTTTTCTGTTTTTAGTTGAGCACACAAAGTAGATAAACAGCACCATTCACTATGCCTTCATTAGCAGCTTTACACCAGTCTAGTAAAAAACAGAATTTTAACGGTATTGAGGTAGTTGATGGGGTGGTATGGCAGGGATGGGAACCAGGACAAGAATACACTAAAAACATTATACTGAAAAATGTCAAAGTTAAAACTCAGAAATTGAAATACAAGTAAGTCTATGTTCTGTTTCATTCATGCCTAAGCAATGGCAAGTTTTGCTTTCTAGTAACAAACAAATGATATTTCCATTCATGAAATGGTAATTTGAAATAATAGTTTTTGCCAGATATGGAAATTGTGACGTCATAAAACAATATTTTTTTTATTATTTTATAGTGTTGAAACGGTTTATCAGTTAATCGTGTCACAGTGGTCTTAGTTTGTCGACAGTCGCCGTGTGCACCGTTATGTTAATTAGGTTAAACAAATAAGCACTGGAGCACTGTAATCATTATCAGACGTTCGGCACGCGCCACTGTTCGTTGCATCTTGTTTTTTTTTTAATGTATTGCGGAAATGTAACACAGTTTTTTTTAGGCATGTTCTAGTGTTTTAATAAGTTTTGTTATTATTTTATTATTTCAATCGGGTACGAGTTGCTTAGAATAAAACAGTTATAAAGATCGTATTACTTTTCAGTAAATCTAGCTCTAATTGACTGTTTGTTTCTTCTTGCCTGTCAATCAGCTACAAGCTTATTAATATCCATGAGTACGGATTCATTGAGACAATAGTTTTATACTAGTTGTGGAATCAGTACACTGATTCGCGGCGACTTCAATGAGATACACTCATTACACTAACCCCACAACTGGTAAAAACCTTTGATCTGTTAGAGACTGTAGCAATGAGTGACAATGGCGCCAGTCCGTCTGAACCCTATCAGGCCCGCTCGTAATCTTACATTGAAGCTTTTGTTTGGTATCTGTCGATTTGTACCGACAATTCGCGGGGAACTAGCCAAAATCTTCCTGGGTACTCATTTACACTTACTCTAGTTTAGTTAACAGTGAGTTATCGTTACCGAGTTTTTGACTCCTTTTATAATCTTTAGTAATTAACCAGGATTAACCGGGTAACAAACGGTTATTGCTGATGATTACCCGGTTCGTAAAATTCACTTACTGTTTCAACACTATTATTTTATGGTAATAGTCAGAATAACATTTTTTTTTGATTATTATTTTCAGTGTGCCAAGTAGTCGTTTTTTCTCTACACTCTATCCTAAACCCATAGTATTATCAGCTGGTACAAGTTTTACTCTTCCAGTCACATTTAGACCATTGGAGAAAAATGTTTACGAAGATAAGATTAGATTCAAAACCCAGGTTTGTTTTTAATGGTTTCATTTTGGTGCATATTTTCAGTGCTTCTTGCTTTTAAGATATGAAAGAGCCAGATTCTATTTTCAATATACAAGGAGTATGGTAACACTTGGCGAAATCCCCACATTGGTGGTTTCAATCAGATCCTACCAATTAGGAGCAGAATATGGGATGTTCGTGTAATTTCAATAATATTTGATATATTATAGGAAGGAGAGTTTGAAGTGCCAATTAAGGCAGAATTACCACAAGTTAAAATAAGAGTACCAGAAAACCTAGATTTTGAAATGTGTGCTGTAAAAGATTATGTAGAGTTGATGTTTGAAGTATCCAATACAGGGTGAGTTAGCTTGTACCAATACTCAATTTCTAATAACAATATGTGAATAAAACAGTTTACATGATTGTATGTACCAGTATTAGATTTTGACTGTTAGATTAACCAAATTTACATAAAGAAGATGAGTTAATTGACTCAGTTAGGAAAAAAAGGTGATCATCTAAAATGATTGTGGAGGGTAATTATCTTGAATGAAATGAAATTGAGTTTTATAAGGGTGAAAATCACCTTTCCTTCTTATAATATTTATCAACAAAACTGAAAATGTTTTATATACGAATTACAACAAATTTTATGTATTGTAGGGACACAGACACACATTTAAAATGGGAATTAAGATCACCTTTTACCATAGAGCCATCTGAAATATTATTAAAGTACAGATCTAAAGCTAAATTTAAAGCTACTTTTAGACCAGAGGTAAGACACATAAAATGAGAATTGAAATTAGCCTAGAGAGGTTTAAACTCATCAAAGTCAATTTTCCCAATACTACACTAATAGGATCATTATGGATCAAGATCATTGATCTCTCAATTTAGATATAGTATAATTACCACAATTGAATATAAGTCTTTATAGATAACAATCACTTTATTTGTTAAATGTTTCAACAAGATTCCACTGGTCGTTATCAAGAGTATCAAATATAACAAATGAAGTAACATAGAGGCAAAGCATAAATATATACAGGCATGTAACAATGGGACGTAATGATAACAATGATGATGATATATTGGTTGTTGATAAAGTATGGGCTATAATTGAAAAGTTTATATTAAAATGAAGTAAGTCTTTTGGAACAACAAGATAACAGCCATTTGGATAAAGGATGACACAGTGTCTTACTGATCTGTACACCATTCATAAAACTATAGAATATGAATATTGTTTATTGTAGATGGCTATAGTATATAAAGGGAATGCTATCTGTAAATATGGTAATAACTATAGTAAAGATGTAACAGTTATTGTACATGGAATTGGTAAGTCGTAGTAGTACACTAGTCCAAAACTGTTTTGGTGAAATACTCCTTGATGTGTCAAGGTCATGTATGATGGTCTGATCTTGGCTGAGCTAAAATTTTACAATTTTTCTGTAACTCTTCTTAATTATCCTTTTAATTGTCTTGCAATAAAGAGACAACAGTTTTGATAAGATTATTGAATTTATTTTTCTATGTAATTTTCTTCAGGAAAATATCCCCACATATTAATTTCTGCCTCTGGTAAACCTGCTGATTGTATTAAAAGTGACAATTTAGAATCAGTGATTAATTTTGGTACTGTGGGAATTGGATCTACTGTACAGAAATGGATGGAACTACACAACCTCTCTCCTGTAAGTTATCACTCCTGCCTCTCCTTCTTACTTGAGCTCTGATTTCATCTTGTATTTAGTGAATAGTTAAAATTACCCCTCATCATCATCTCAATTATCAGCTTTCTCTTGGAATGAAACTGTATGTGTTGTTTGAAGTAAAAAAAAAGACAATGATTTGCTGGCCATGTTGATAATGAATATGAATGGATGTTAATATTATATAGGTTAGAGTACCATTTCAAGTTGATCATCCTACTCTATCTAATACTATTGATACAGTATTTAAGTGTCCTATGAAGATGGGTATTGTACCACCAATGACAGCTATGAGAATACCTGTAAGTTATTTCACATAATAAAATTTTAGAAAGATATGTCATTTGAACTCTAAAATCTAAATGTATTTTGAACTGCAGATTGTTGCATCTCTCACTTACAGAAAGATTTGCAACACTAACAATTCTTTTAGAAATATAAGGAGAATTCAGAATTTGTTAATTCACTATCCTTTTTGGAGAGTCCACATAGCTTATATTTATTTGCTAAATTTGTTTGTATAAAAAATCTATATGTTTAGAGTGTTTAAGTTGTTAATTTGTTGTATATTTAGATGAGTTTTACGCCAAGTTTAGTTGATGGGTCCAGTATTGACTATTTTACAGTATCTGCTATAGATAATATTAGTAAAAGTGTGGTTAAGTGTTTTGGAAAATCAAAAGGTAAGGAATCATGACTAATATTATACTTTCATTTGCAGGATTTTAATAACAAACAGATTAGATTAGATGTTTGATTTGCAAGTAGCTAAGATCTAACTTTAGAAATATGTATTGAAGGACAGGCTACACTAATATTGCCAATCTTTTTCATCAATTGTGAAGAATATTGACACTACTTACCTTTCTGATTTCTTAAAGTATATTGTAACTAAATATCTATATGATGGTTTAAGTTAGAACTTTTATATAGTGTAAGATCAGATTCTTTTCGTGCCAACAATTGATATTGATAATACATGTAGTTTGAAAGTGAAACTGATGAAGTAAAAGAGATTATCTGATACTCATACATAGATATTTATATTCTTATTACAGGTCCAACAGTTCAGTTAAGTTTTAAAGCTGTTAATTTTATGCAGATTGATGTTGGACAAACAGCTACTAAAAGTGTTGAAGTTATAAATAGTTCTGATGTTGAAGCAGTATATCAAGTATGTAATATCTATAGTATGTTTATGGATATTCATGGTTGTTTAACGAGAATTGGGATAAGATAAGATTGAGCTTGATTTTCATTGCAATGCCTCGTACACAATTCCTTTCTGCCTTTAATGTAAATCGACAAAAAAATCCTTTGAAGAATGTTTTATGTAAATTTGAATAATTGTTATTTTAGTTTATGATTGAATGTGAAGAGAGTGTATTTAAATTTGATAAAGTTTCTGGTATATTGAAACCAAACTCTAAAGATACAATTATATTAAAATTTACTCCACCATACCCTATAAATTATCATAGAAAAATAACTTGTATGGTTCACAATCAGGTAAGTGATAATAAAGACAGAAACAACCACTTTTTACCCAGATAACAAAGATTGTCAAGGATCCTGTCTACTGGCTTGTTCTCGCCCAAACATCATGGCATAGATCTTTAAGTTATATCTCTTCCCATTTTAGTCAACTGAAATAGTGAGACAACTATTTTTCATATTTTTTGATACGGAGATCAAATTAGGTTGTCACTGATTCTGTCTACCAGCTAGTCTGTGGCCAAACCTCAGGCATTGATCTTTCCAAGATTATCTATACTCATCTATTTTAGAGTCAACTGGAATAGTCAGACTTTCAACTACTGACCAAGATTAGAACCTATGACTCATTAATACAATGATACATATATTAATACTATAGCTTTTAATTCTCAGAGAATGATATTAATAATGTCTTTTTAATTGAATTTCAGGGTCCACTGTATTTAGATTTACTAGGAACCTGTCATTCAGAAACAGTGAAACCTGCTGTATTATTAGCTAAACATTTACATCGATTTAAAATAAATGCAGAGAAAGGCTTTTCTTTCTACCCTCCTGAGGTATGTTGATGTTTTTTTAGTTTATAGATGTCTATTGTTTTTATTGCACATTAATCATTATTAACCAGGTCCACAGAAGAAAAAGCTGTTCAATGTTTTCATATGAGTTCTCACGCATAGTTTATTACACAGCTGGGTTATTACTACACATCAACTGAATAAATACATTGGTTTGTTTTATTTTGTTGACAACTTTGTTTCAAACTTGCAGAATGTAACCTGTAGAACACGTAGGTGATGTATGTTAATTAATGTTATTTGCCCTTGCAAGTGGAAGTTTCCCATTGTGGCAACTTCTTCAACTCCATATAAAATTCACTAATCAAAATACTGAGAAATCTCACTTGATGTATGGCCTGATGTTTTTTATGTTATATTACAGCAATTAAATGATATGATAACAGAAGGGAAATTGGAAACAGATGAAAATGGTTTCATTCAAAAGAATGAAAAAAATGTAAGTTATATTTGAAGAAAACTCATCTGTGGTATATTGCCATTTTACATGGCTTTTATAACGCTTTGAGGAAATTGAAAATTTGAGACCTGTATTTTCAAGTTCACAGATTTGTTTCCAGAAAAATATTGTACATGTTTATTCAACTGATGTCAAGATGTCTATTTATCAACTGTTTTAAGTTCTGTGAATTGTTTTACTGTGTTACTTTTTGTTGTGATATTTCTGAGAATGACCTTTGTATTAGCTAGCATAACCTAGGCATAGTCATAATTTTTTAAGGAAATATGGTAGCAATTGAGATGTCAATGTGGAAATTTGAATGCTAGATACAGCTTTATAACATTTATATTTTTAAAATTTAGAAACCAGTAATAAGAATACAACTAGCTGATAATAACACGGTAGTTAGAACAAAAACTGTTAGGCTAATTGGCTATATTATATATTACATTCTTTATTTCTTTCTTTGGTGCTACATCTTCATGTATAGTACAATCATCATATTATGATAATGGATAACATTTGACCTTGACCTTAGTACATTTGTGATGTCAAAGGTTAATGTATATCATGTATATGCTCTACATGTAATATACAATACAATATTATGATATACATTATACATAAACAAACTGTTAAATTCTATAAGCTATGACTAATAATATATCTTCCTCTATATGTCCACAAAGCACATGTATATGAATTTGTAATGCACTTAATGAAATATATATTCTATATTTGCTCATGTGAAATGGAAAAAAGAGAAACTATCAGAAATATTTAACAAGTTTACTCTGTTGTTATTGGATTACATTTGGTATACAATTGTAGAAGTAAAATATCTGATCGCTATACAGAGATTTTCATGTTTAACATGCCATATTGGACATTAATTTTCATTTTAGACGTGGAAATTGAAAGAATAGAATTGTCATTTAGCATTATTTTGTGTTTTTTTTCTTTACTTGCAGACTGAAACAGTAAATGTATCAAACACAAATAAAATGACTGAGCCTCGTCCAATGGATGTATATTTTAATGATGGATTCCATTCAGACCTAGTGGTGAGTACTTTCCCTGTATATAAGAATATAAGACCTGGAATTTTAAACTTAATTTATTTGTGAAACACAGTTTTATTCATTGTGCAATTGAGAGTTAATGTTTTAGCCAAGTACTTAAAGCCCATGTGGTTTCATGTTCTAGGTAACTACACCACATGTTAGTTGTGATATAAATGTAGCTGATTTTGGTAACTGTCAGAGTTTAAGAACAGTGGAAGACAAGGTTAGAACATTTCTTTGTTACTTTAACAATGTTTAGCAATAATTGTGTAAAGAGAAAATGTAATATTGAATAGTGTTTGATTGATGTAATGTTCAATCATTAATTCTTTATTCCCCATACATTACATATTTTTACTCTTTATGATACTACATTATATTTAAAGTTCAATATTTACGTTAGTTTGTTGTTTGTCTAATTATTATATTTTCATTACAACTTATTCATGTTAATTAGCATCAGAGCGATTTTAGGCTCTGAGCATGTGTGATATATGTTGTTCTGTAGAGATAATATAAAAACACATTAAAACCGATGTTAATAACTATTCAATAGGTTGTCAATCTAATCAATCATACAAGAGGAAAAGTTACTGTTCAATGGATTACAGGTATTGTTTATGTCTCTTGTATTTTAGATTTAATGTTATTACAATTAAGGAAACATATTGAAAATAAAATTACCTTCAAAATCACAATCTATCAATATCAAAGATTTAACTCTTGGAAATGAAGAGACTTAATTATGTTATATATGTTTTATTTAGACACCAATAAAGAATTTTCAGTATTTCCAAACACATTGGATATCCCACCTTTAAAAAGTTGTTCATTTAGAATATCCTTCAAACCCGTAAGTAGAAGTCATAGTTTTGAATTAATTTTGAATTATAAAATTTTAACTTTATGCATTTGATGAGTTGACACAAGAATTTTAAACCATTTAAAGCGTAAAAAGCATATTTTTGTTTCTTGTGCTTTGTTGTAAAGTTTGGCGATTTATCTCTTTTTCTTATTATAGTGAGAAATATTTTATCAATTTCAGACAGCACCAAATCAATTCTACGGAAGTGAATTGGAATGTTATGTTTATTACAAAAGTTTAAGAGATTACAGATTGGTGGAAGATAATACACATTGTCCACCTTGGTGTCTTACATTAACTTGTTCTGGTAAGTTGACATTGTCCACCTTGGTGTCTTACATTAACTTGTTCTGGTAAGTTGACATTGTCCACCTTGTTGCCTTACATTAACTTGTTCTGGTAAGTTGACAGTGTGTCTTACATTAACTTGTTCTGGTAAGTTGACAGTGTGTCTTACATTAACTTGTTCTGGTAAGTTGACATTGTCCACCTTGTTGCCTTACATTAACTTGTTCTGGTAAGTTGACAGTGTGTCTTACATTAACTTGTTCTGGTAAGTTGACAGTGTGTCTTACATTAACTTGTTCTGGTAAGTTGACATTGTCCACCTTGTTGCCTTACATTAACTTGTTCTGGTAAGTTGACAGTGTGTCTTATGTTAACTTGTTCTGTTAAGTTGACAGTGTGTCTTACATTAACTTGTTCTGGTAAGTTGACAGTGTGTCTTACATTAACTTGTTCTGGTAAGTTGACAGTGTGTCTTACATTGACTTGTTCTGGTAAGTTGACATTGTCCACCTTGGTGTCTTACATTAACTTGTTCTGGTAAGTTGACAGTGTCTTTTACATTCGTGTCTTACATTAACTTGTTCTGTTAAGTTGACAGTGTCTTTTACATAAACATGTTCTGGTAAGTTGACATTGTCCACCTTTGTGTCTTGCATTAGCTTGTTCTGGTAAGTTGACTGTGTCTTTTACATAAACTTGTTCTGATAAGTTGACATTATCCACCTCGTTGCCTTACATTAACTTGTTCTGGTAAGGTGACATTGTCCACCTTGTTGCCTTACATTAGCTTGTTCTGTTAAGATGACATTGTTTTATATCCTTTTCTTGTAGGTTGACATTGTCCATCTTGCGTCATAGTTTTGTGATATCATTTCTGTTGCAGCTCAAACATTCATGCCCCATCATGAGACATTCTGGCCAAGATATACTCTAGACAATACCAGTGTTGTTTTTGATGCTGTTAATGTTAATGAATCAACATATAGAACTGTTTTACTGACTAATACTGGTACAACACCTATATTACTCAATACACAGTCTGATACAGATAGGTTAGTTCTATTGAATTATTATTATTTACTTATACCTCTTTAATGTTGCTTGGCAATCTTTTTAATTACCAATATGTCTAGAAATATCAGATATTATTAAAGTATTATTAGTGACATGTGTATGTACATCAAGGGCTGATAGATATTCACTATTGATAACTAAATTACCATGTATTTAGCAAGATTGTGCTATGACAAATCTGAGGTATGAGATATTAATTTTAGTCATGAATAATCAGATTTATGGAATTTAGACAAATTTGTTACCATTGCTAGGTTTTTATAATATTGTATACTTTCAATTCTGTTAATTTGTAATGCCTATTTTCAGCATCTTTACTATGAAACCAATGAATGGTTTAGTGAAAGGGAAATATCAGATATTGACTATTAAAGCCACACCAAGAGAAGCAAAAATCTATCAACAGAATTTTCTGTTAAAACTGAATGATAATGAAAAATACAACCAGGTCTGTCAAATTGATTTTAGTTGTCTTCAAACAGTTGAAAAGGTGGGAGGATGAACAGATATTCTCATGGCATGGATATTAAAAATGCTTACTTTGATTTTGGTCTTCAATATGTTGTTTGTAGATTTTCATGTATGCTTACTGATTGTCATGAAATATCTGAACTAGCAGAATTGAGATTGAGAGAAAACAATAAGTTTTATATATTTTACAATTTAATCTTGAGCTCTTTCAATTATATAAAAATGTTACAAAATTAATTTTTTTTAGATATTAAAACTACATGGATCTGCTGAATCAGCTGAAGTAGTATTAGATTCCCAGGGTGTGATGTACTTTAAACCTACTTGTATTGGTACAGCCTCTAGTAAATATTATGGTATGAAAAATATCTCCAGAATACCTCTCAGGTAATGTTTTAATTTGAATTTTGAAATGCTCTCGTGTAGAATGTTCATTTTCTAGTCAATTTAAAAGAAAAGTCCTCAGCTTAATTTAAACACTAATCTGATAGACCAATATTCTGTCTCTTATGATAAAACCTCTTATTCTTAAATGTGATCAATGTGTTGTAGATCTTGTCCATTCTGTTCTGTGGAAAATCATTATATTATATTATACTATTAATTCCTGTTTGTAGATATGAATGGAAATTAAACCATGCTGACAGTAAATTGTTAAAGGTACATCCAGATTCAGGTATAATACAACCTAACGAATACCAGGTAAATATCAATATTTTCCTTTAAGACTTCTCTCAAGTCATGACTCATGAGTGTTATTTATAATAAAAACATGCTCCTGTTTTAAGTAGTTAATGTGTTGAAAAGGAAGTCACATATCTCTGAATAAATAAGGTATTAATTTTTCATCATTTAAATTGTTACATTTCAGAGTCAGAAGTGGTCATTTATTCCATCTTCTGAAGAAAAATCAGTGATGAAACCAACATTGTTAGTATGGGGACAAGGTTTAAAAGATAACTCATCTGGTGGTAAGAAGAAGGCGTTTACTGTTCGAGCTATTGGTGAGGGAGATCTTGGTGATCTTAAGGTAAAGATATTTTTAATCATTGATTATGATTTAGCTTAAAAGATGTTGAAGAGCTGACTGATATACAGCTTATAGAGGTCAATTCTAGTTATACTTAACTCTTTCAAATCATGTACAGGTCTCCAAGAATACAACAGAACTGTAAGCTTACTACAGCCATTTATATTGTTGTTACTTCCTTGGAGTTATTACATTCTCATTTCAAGTTATTACCAATGATATCATCATATAGTTAATTACTGTATGTGTGAATGTCGATACTTCTACCTTTACTTTTCAAATTTAAATCTTACATATATTTTCCCTTTCAGTCCAATCAGAATCATTATGATTTAGGTGATATAGTTGTTGGTAGCTCAGCATCTCAACGTATAATACTCTCTAATAATAGTCAATGTAGTTTACATTATAAATTACTGGTAAATCAAGCCTTTGATACACTTAATAATAGATCAGAGAAATTAGGTAATTACATCAATTTTATATCAGTTTATAATTTTTAAGGGTATATCTAGCATCTGCCTTTGGTGTGGAGCAATATCAGACATCTGAACATAACAATGATAAAATATCACCATTATACATAGACAGGGAATTGATTCAATGGTCGAACAGAGTTTACCTCATTGTGCACTGTATTTTTTCTATGTTAGGTTTAGAATTGGATGAAACTGAAGGAGTTATACCAGCCAGATCTAAACATACAATATTAGCTACTGTAAGAACATTACAACGCAAAGAATATCAATATACAGTATCTTATCAACTGTTAACACCTAAAGGTTTGTATCTTAGCATTTAGCATTACTAATAGATATACCAAATAAATAAGTTATATGAATAGATATATTTACTCTATTGAAAGGTGTGGCAACTAGACAAAGCCAATGGCAGAAGTGGAGTTAGTAAGACATAATTGATTAATTGGTGCATTTTAAATGCATATCTTTTCAAAACACTTTGAATTCATTTAAAGAAAGATAATTTATGTTGATATTTCATATATTTTAGGAGAAAATTCGGATATTGTGCCTAAAGAACCAAAACATTTATGTCATGTATTGACAACTGGTGTATTCCCTACTATAGTTGTTTCAGATGCTAGATGTTATGGTAGTGCTGTAAATATAAGTAAAAAACAGCTATGGAACCTTTTCTCCTTAGATACGTATGTAAATGTTATACAACTCTCAGTGTTGTCCGAAACATCTGCCTCTATTCCAGCCTCTGATGGATATTTTGACAGTTGTCGGCTGGAGTAGAGTAAGAAGAAAAAGGTCCTGATAAATGGGGATTTTCCACACCTCCAGAGAAGCGTTTTTTCTAACATAATATTAAATTACTTTTACAATGACTCTAAAAAAATGTTGGCCAAATGATGATACGACTGAACTACAAAAATATTCATCTTTCGAAATATACCTGGGCATCTAAATAGGTTTAAAACCTGCAGAGATGCAGAATGTACCCAATTTAACAGGCCTATTTTTTCTGTCTCTACACCAGCTCACATCTCTTAAAATAGCTATCAGAGGCCGGAATAGAGACATATGTTTCAGTCTTCTCTCAGAGATACTGTTCTCTTGTTATAGTTTTGAATTACAAAATCCAAATGAACACAAAAAAATTATTATATACATGAGTACAAGATATGAATTTGTGCACTGGTGTCTAGTAGGACCACATATCACTGCAAACAGTTATGTATATATAAAACTATATTGGTGTTTTTCATTGTTATTTGTCATTTATTTTACAGGTTGAATGCTTGTTTAGATTCTGATCCTTCTGCTCCTGAATTAATGTTCAGTATGGCTACTAGACACAGGTAATTATTTCTCCAACACAAAATATTATCCTGACCACAGGTTGTTTATTTAGTTTATCATCTAAGTTTCTTTAACTTGATATCATGTTGATAAGTATTCTCACAATTTTTTATACACCCACAATCTATTTTCATTAAACTAAGAATGTATGGTATATGAACTGAATATCAAATGAGAAAGTTTTTCATTTCATCAGAAGTGGGTATGATCCACTTTCTTATTTTATTTCAGTCATAACAGAAGACCACCAGTATATACCCGAGCTATCATGGATTTTAATTTTAGTTCTGCTCCATTAGATAGTGAACCATGTATAGTGAATTTAATGTTTGAAAATACAGGAACAGTAGCATCAGATTGGTAGGTTCTCCTAATCTTTTATTTAAGATATAGCAATTCTTTCAATTTTAACCCTTCAAAGATAAGATAAAAACATTTCTGTTTTTATCGAGAGTAATACCCAAGCACTTTGTTATTCTATATTCTGGCTGAAAAGCAGTTACTAACACCATACCTAGATGGATTTCAAAATGTATTTATCAGACCTAAATGATAGAATACAGTGAAGAGTAATCCATCCTTTGTATTTTCAGGGCATTTTTATTTCCATCTGATTTACAATTAGAGTTAGAATATTGGTCAGAAACAGGAGAATATGATCAAGATGAACTACATGAGGTATTTTATTAGTTTGTTTTAGTCCTTTGTTTGGTCTAGGTGTCAAAGTAATGTTCACAGAAGAGCCCAATTTGTTAGAATAATAATTAGGAACTTTTAGTAAATTATAAAATTTAGTAACATATGCCATTGTTTTTTCAATTCATTGTAAATAAACAAGAATTTTTCTTAATGAATTCATGGAATTCTGAGATAATTGATCAATTTGGTCTTTATCTATTTGTGGCATTACCTTCAATCTACAATGTATTAAAAATAATATGAAAACAATGGAATGTGTTTTTTTTTTTTTACAGATGAAGGTTATGGACAATAGACTGTTTGCTATTGAACCTAAAAAAGGTCGTCTGCAGCCTGGAGAATGTCAAACTGTGACCTTCACCTATCAACATACAATGGCTGGAACAGATAGATTACCGGTATTGTTGAAGTTAGCTCATGGTCGAGAAATATTGGTATGTAAGCTTATTGAAAAAAAGAAAATAACCAAAATGTCAATTCAATCCATAAAGTAGATCAGCAATTTCAAATTTATTGAGTTGCTTTTTAAACATAAAACTATAAAACTGAAAAAAGTTTGCTGTCCATATCTGTGCAAAATATGTGAACTTGCAGTAATATTAAATATAATAAGCTTATAAAAATATAGAACTATAGGTAACAGCAAAGAAAAATTACAGAGATCATATTGAGAATCCTAGAACACATGAAATGCTGTGTCTGAGTTGAACTTAATTTATATGATTATTTTCAGTTAAACTTTATTGGTGTAACAGTAGAAGCAGACAGAAATTATATTCATTTCTCCTCCAACAAACATATGTTTACACCAGTTCCAGTGGGAGAGAAAACTAGTCCCATACAGGTAAATAGTGTACCCCCTCATATTATTATTATCATATTATTGACTCTCCTTCATATTATTGATATTAATCAATATCCTACATTGAGCATATGTTCAGATGAGTTCATATACCAAAATTTAGGTGTTTTTACCTTCCAAACTTAGTTGTAGATAGATGGAAGGAAATGAGATGCTTGCATTGTTATCTGGAGGTCCCCATTTCAACTGATTATATATTGACTATCTATTTCCGAGTGAAGGTTAGAAATGCTTTCAAAGCTTCAAAGTTGTTCCATAGCACACTGTACAGAACACTTAAAAAATAACACCCTTCATTTCTAATAATACTTATATGTTTTATATTTAGATCTATGAATTATATAATGGTGGAGCTCAGTCTGTCAGATATGAGCTTGATTTAGCTAGTTTAGATCTTTTACAACAGGTAGGCCCTTTACCTATACTATAGAGAAATCTTCAATCTTTTACTTAAAAATATTTTGAATGACTATTCTAGTTAGGGCTGGGTATCGACTTCCAAATTGAGATCAATTATCCACAGCAGGCTACCTATCAATAATCGATTAATAATCAAAATGATCCAATTGAGAAACCCTGTAAATACTGAATTAAAAACATGCTGGAATTCGTAATTTCATGAGTAAGTTTTGCTTCATAGAAGTATATTCTTGCTTTGATCTAATATTATAGTTTATTGTGGGTATGTTATGGGTTAAAGGGAACCTATGTAGAATAGATTACTACTTGTAAACGATTACAGTGGACAAATGTAACATATAATTGATTAAGAAATTTGATAAAAAGATAATCGAATTGAATTCCTAGTGATGATAATCAATTATTTTGATCATTTTACCCAGCCGTAGTCCAAGGATCAAGTATGATTTGAATGTCATAAGTTATTTTTTCTGAGCTTTGTCAACAAAGTCGCACAACCTTTTCAATAGTTTTATATAATTCTGCACGCTTCATTTGCAACTTTTCAATAGCACATAACTTAAAATGCCGGTAATGTTTCTTGAGTGAATTAATTGCATGGTTGAAACACAAACAATGTTTAAGCCATAACTTTGCTTATCTCCTGTAGGAGAATTTTGACCAGCCAATATTTGAATGTTTGGATCCAATTGGTGAAATATTACCTGGTAAATGTGTCGCTGTAGAATGGAGATTTTCACCACTTGAAGCTAAGACATATATGGTATGTAGATAGTTATAATAGATTAATATAATATTTTATCTCTAATAAGTCACAGTTTATAATAAATTATAACTTAAACATTCATAAGATGTACATGTTCATAAAATCTAAATTTAGAAATTAAATCACATTCATCTAAATTCATATCATGAAAAAAGGTTAGTAAATTGTCAGCCAGTCTGCAGGATGTATAGGTTTAAAACATTACCTTATTCAAGATCACTATCATAAATAGGTTTCAATATTTCAATATTAACATGATACATTAAAGGTGGATATTCCAATTTTATGGTATAATACTCCTATTCCATAATATTGTGTTCTGTTATTTGATTTGATCTCTACCCCTAAATGTCACTTAAAGATTTTTATACATTAAAGGTGGATGTGCCAATTCGAATTCAAGGCGGTGAAACCAATATAGTAACATTCACTGGTGTGGGGTATGATAAAAGGGTCATGGGGGATAGCACACCTTTAACTAATCAACAAGACCTTAGTGGTGTACCAAGCGTACAGAGTGTACCAATTCCAGGACAGGTGAGCAGCAGTGAAATCTTAGTCGAAGAATCGAGCCAGCTAGTTAAAAGGATATTGAATACTTGGAATGATCCTTGAGAAACGTCATTGTTTCTTTCCTTTTCACAAAATGGACCCAGCCATGACATTTCAGTTTTAATTTCACTACAAAACCCCAAAAATGTAATTTATACAGGTACATACCTTAAATATCTAATAAAAGACAAGAAAATAAACAAGCATATAACATTCGCAGGTAAATTGCTATCTTTTGAAAATGACGTATGATCTTGATATTTCTGTATTCCAGCTGGCATATTTGTCTCAAGAAAGAATAACATTTGCCAATGCCCCACTATTTAGTCGGTCCAGGAGAATAGTTTTTGTGATGAATAAATCCAAGGAGAAGACCATATCGTTTGAATGGCATGTAACAAGTCCTAAAGATACCCAGGTAATTATCTCTATGTCTATATGTGTCTTTATTACCATTAAATTATCTATATTTCAGTATGTGTCTGTATAACCATTAATTATCTATATTTCAGTATGTGTCTATATTACCATTAATTATCTATATTTCAGTATGTGTCTGTATAACCATTAATTATCTATATTTCAGTATGTGTCTATATTACCATTAATTATCTCTATTTCAGTATGTGTCTGTATAACCATTAATTATCTATATTTCAGTATGTGTCTATATTACCATTAATTATCTCTATTTCAGTATGTGTCTGTATAACCATTAATTATCTATATTTCAGTATGTGTCTATATTACCATTAATTATCTCTATTTCAGTATGTGTCCATATTACCATTAATTATCTCTATTTCAGTATGTGTCTATATTACCATTAATTATCTCTATTTCAGTATGTGTCTATATTACCATTAATTATCTATATTTCAGTATGTGACTATATAACCATTAATTATCTATATTTCAGTATGTGTCCATATTACCATTAATTATCTCTATTTCAGTATGTGTCCATATTACCATTAATTATCTATATTTCAGTATGTGACTTTATAGCCATTAATTATCTATATTTCAGTATGTGACTATATAACTATTAATTATCTATATTTCAGTATGTGGCTATATAACCATTAATTATCTCTATTTCAGTATGTGTCTATATTACCATTAATTATCTCTATTTCAGTATGTGTTTATATTACCATTAATTATCTCTATTTCAGTATGTGTCCATATTACCATTAATTATCTATATTTCAGTATGTGACTTTATAGCCATTAATTATCTATATTTCAGTATGTGACTATATAACTATTAATTATCTATATTTCAGTATGTGACTATATAACCATTAATTATCTCTATTTCAGTATGTGTCTATATTACCATTAATTATCTCTATTTCAGTATGTGTTTATATTACCATTAATTGTCTATATTTCAGTATATGTCTGTATTACCATTAATTATCTATATTTCAGTATGTGACTTTATAGCCATTAATTATCTACATTTCAGTATGTGACTATATAACTATTAATTATCTATATTTCAGTATGTGTCTATATTACCATTAATTATCTATATTTAAGTATGTGTCTATATTACCATAAATTATCTCTATTCCAGTATGTGTCTATATTACCATTCATTATCTCTATTTCAGTATGTGTCTGTATAACCATTAATTATCTATATTTCAGTATGTGACTATATAACTATTAATTATCTATATTTCAGTATGTGTCCATATTCCCATTAAGAGGATGTTTAGAAGCAGGTGAAAGTCAAATGTGTAGAGTTAGCTTTATTGCTTCCACAACTCCATCGTTTTATGATCTTGACTTAGTTTGTGAGGTGGGTAATATTCCTGATATTGTATTCAACTCAATTCTATGCTAAATTGAGGCGAGATTGAGTGAACATTTATTTTATATCAAACAAGTTTTTACAGCCCTATGTTCAATAATTGCATTATTTGAGATGATTTTATTACAGATAACAGATGAACATGAAATGAAGAAGTACAGAAAAAAATTATTGGAATGGGAGAAACAGAAAGAACGTGAGAAACATGAATTTACTATTACAGAAAATGATTTGGATGCTGATAAACGTTTACAAGACTCTCCTGATATGTCCAGTGTAAGTTAACATAATACATCATTAAACAACGTTCTACTGTCAGGTATTAGAGTAAACTTGTCCACCATTCCATCTAAAACTTCACAATGAAGGAACAGCTTGGAGCTTTTGTCATCTTGACATAAATTTGATAGTTGTCAACGCTAACTAGACTACGTCTCGCCAAATCCTGCAGTCAAAACTAAAGTGTTATTAGTGTAGCGATTCCTGAACACAACAGTTCAGCATTTGAGGAGTAGTAGGTTCTCAGGGTCTAGTTAGGTTTTGGGGTTTGAGACGTTTTTATTAATGATTGTTGTGGAATTCAACAAATGATGGACAAATAGACTGATAAAGGTGCAGAAACAATCTCATTTCCTTTTGTGACAAGTACACCACTCTTGTCAGGTAGTAAAAAGGGTTCCACAGCAATATGATATTAATCTTTATTTTTTGTTCTATGCTAGCCTATTGGAGGTGAGAGAGAAGGTAGAAATGGCAGTAAAACACCAGAAGGAGAACTGTCCAGATATAAGGTAACCACTTAATTCTTTTAACCACATCCTTGTCTGATTTGGCTGTATCTGTCAGACTTTGAATTCCAAAATGTCCAGCAGAATATTTGGTGTTTTTGTAAGTCACTGTTATGGATTTTTCACACATTCTAAGTTTTTTCAATAGAACTGAAGTTAATTGCTTGATGCTAAGATGGAAACAGCATTGAGTGTACAGGAACATGAAACATTTTAAATGTTGTCTTTTTCTTATAGACATTGCCTCCAATTCAAAGAAAATCAGCTGATGAATTAAATAGGTTAGAAAAGAAAAGAAAAAAGAAAGAAAAGACTATGAACTTAAAACCAGTAGCCCCAACTCCTTTCTTACTTCATCTTGGTGTAACATCCAGAACTCATGGTATTAAAGATTTTCAGAGTAATTTCCCTGATGAATATCAACATTTCCATATTGACAGGTGAGCAGAAAAAAAAAGCTTGATCAATACTTTTAATTATCTAAATTTAAACTAAAACATTCACTTCTATTTCATGCAGCTAACGAAATCCTGAACACATATCAATGTTTTTTATTTTCAATGGACAAAATTCCATCATCTACGCCTAGATTGAGAAAACCTAAAAAAGCTTATAACATTTATTAACTTCTTTAAAATCTTGATTTCTGTGTTTAATGTGATTCTTTTAGAAAGATTTGATTTATTCAGATGATAATCATGAGACTTGTTATTACAGAGCTATGGGAGAGAAACCAGTCTCAAGAGAATCTAATCAACTATCTACTGAGATTGTGGAGAATATTCAGTGTAATCAAGGTGAAGCTGGGGTGATATCAGGTGTTCTGTGTAATATCTTGAGGTTTGTTCATTTTAACATCAACTGTCTGACTAATTTGGATGATATGAAAGCCATATAGTGTTTATAAACCAAGTCACAGAGTGCTGATACAATTACTTATTTCTGTTAAAACACTTCCTTTAAATTTTCCCATCACAATGGTGTCTTAACACATTTACAAATTTCTATTTGCAGAGGTTTGCTGGAGGACAATTACTTTGTTGATGCTGCTAAAAAGGTCATCAAGGAACCAGTACCTTATTTCTGTCAGGTTGGGGATCGACCAAAATCAGCACCACCATCAACTGGCAATATCCATAAACACAGGAGTCCAGATATTCATGTAGAAGATATAGAGGCAGAAGAACTATCAAGAGAACAAACACCATCTCAAGAGTCACAAACTGTTTCTGATCAGGTAAGCTTTAGACTTTTAAGACATGCATTATAATGTATTATGTGTAATGACTAATGAGTTGTTTCTAAATGTAGTTCATGAAATATGGATTACTACCTGTACTGATATTAATATAAAGAACATATATATATATATATTTAATATATCAAATACTGAAGTTTTTAGGTAAGTAAAAATATTTATTATTTTGTCTTGCTTCACCATTGAATGATTTTTTATTTTCTCAGAGATCAGCATCAAGTCGTGGAACTAATTTCAATTCACCTGATCCTGTTTTAACTCCTACTACTGAACCTCTCCAACAGGATCAACATGATGAAACTAGAAAACAAAAACTTAAAAAGTTAGTCAGCTATTTTTATATGTAACTCTTGATCTTCACAACATATTTAACTTGTTTACATCTTTAACCCAATTTCAATTCTATTTTATAATGCAGATACGTTAGAAGAATGTATCACAGGAAAATGTCAAAATGCTTATAAATAGAAATGTAAACATTTGAATTTAAATCTTTTCAGAATGCCTAGGTTTGTTAGGTTATCTTGCATTGTTTCAAACTATTCATCAGAATCTGGCCTGTCACTTAATTTTTTCTCTCTATTTTTCAGAAATCCAGCAGTTAGTAATATAATGGAGTCAGTTCTAGAAAACTCAATATTCAACATTATGTCAGAGGCTTTAGCTCAAGAATTTAACATTACAGCTCGTCCTAGATATATTGCTTTACCAAAACGTCCTGCATTATCTACTAATAAATCAAAACATTAGGTTTAATTTATTTTTATATTATTTTTGTGTGCTAAATCTAAGTTTAACTCACTAGGTATGAATCTTTTATAAGATATTGATAGAAGGTAATCAAGGTGAATTTTGAAAATGTAAATCAATAAGTTTGCAATAGTAGGTTCAAACTAGAACTTTTGGTGTCAAAAAAAGAGTTAACAAATATATATATATCATATATATTGCATGAAACACCTGCAGCTATAACCTTCAGAATATAAGAAAGCATTATAGTTTCACTTTACAAATATTTTTGTTGAATTAATTAGCATGTCATATATTCCCTTTTTCAAAACTTTTTTGATTTATGCGATAATGACTACTATACAAAATGTGATACCAAAGTAAACTACGTTTCAGGCTTATGTAAATGTTTTTAGGGGAAAGAGGTATTTGATAATTTAACAGCAGTTCTTGCTCTCTCTCATCGAGGATTGTAGCTCTATATATTTTTATCTGTGATATTTTGTATAAATATTGATAATTGTATATAATATAGTTAATCTTAAAATTATTTATGATATAGCTTTCCTGAAATTTCAGCATTCTTTTTATTCTGCTTCCTAATACATGTTTTTATAATTCCCACAAGAAGCATTATTCTGATGAATTCTTTCTTTCAAGAATACACCAATGTTTTATAACAAACTTACTTGAATTTTACATATTGCAGTATTCAAATATAACAGCATCAGCTGTGTTACCTTTATGTGTTTATTTATGTATTTGTATATTATTATAAATAAAACATTATAAAAATATGTTTTTTGATCTGCAGAACGTATATTCTGTGTCCATTTCACTCTGATATTACTTTTGCCAGTCTACAACTGGATAGCTATCTGGAATAATGATCCAGCAGGGAAAAGTTATGCAACTACTCTTAACTATTGTGCTTTGCTCTGTTATCTTCCAGTAATAACAGAGGAAACATGCCTTTTAAACCTTGGATACATGAGTACAGGTCTTTTCAGTTTATGATCTTCTGGAGTTCCTTAAAATTTACGCTTTTGAGTCCAAGTCATAAAACTATAATGAATTTAAGCTCAAATGTATTAAGAACAGTGACAAGCAATGTTAGCAAAATAAAGAAGATTTGAACTAGGTTTGTCAACTTTACATCCCATAAACTGGGTTTGTCAACTCTGCATCATATTTTAAATATATACAATTGTTATTTGGAATATCAATCATCATGATCCATAGATATCAGCTGATTGAAAGGATCCTAGAAACCTAAGCTACCTTATTTTTATAATATGTATTGATGTGATTTATAAATGAAATGTAAGTATGACAAATAGTTTTTTGTATGGGGAAAAAATACAAGGTGTGTTAGAATAGAATACTGGAATCACATCAAATTTATTACAAACTATAAGTTTTCGCATTAGAAATAATCAAACTGGGCACGTATTCTCGAAACGATCTTTGCGCTTGGATATCCAAGAAATAGTGTTTGAAATTAAAAACTTAGTACATCCCAGCGCTAAGATTGTTTCGAGAATACGGGACCTAAATATAAATGCCCTATCCCATTCTGCAACACCCGCATAAACTCCTGGGTTCTTAGTCTTCAAAACGGATCCCATTAAGCTTGAGGAAGAGGGTAACACACGAGTAAGGAGGTTCTACGGCTATTTTCGATCAGGAACTGTTTGATGTCAGTGTCTTGAAGACAATTTGGCCGCCTTTTTGAGTGGCCGTCGATTCGAGCTGTCAAGTTAGCGGCCCTTTAGTGGTGTCTTGTCATGATGGAGCAGCCAAGCAACTCTCGCGACTTCTATCCCAAAATAAAGTAAACGCCACAATATCTATTTGCAGTTTTGCTGGTTGATCGTCTGGCTAGAACTCTTGCTTTCTTCCGGCTTGGCGAAGTCGGACCCTTCGACTAAAGGCTCTTGTGTTTGGTCTCCAGCAGGTTTCACACGAATGACTCTTCCTGTAAGGGTTGGCTACAGGACGCTCGAGTATGTCCTAATACACTTTCCGCCATCTACATCAAGGAGGGTGTGACGACA